GTCAATATAGTCTTTGGAGAAATTAAGCAAGGAAATAACTACAGGGAAGTTTTGGGAGACCAAAGAAAGTTACAGTCTGGCCACTTATCTGAGCTCATTGACTCCAGATGAAAGAGGCAATTCACAGTCAAACTCCACTTCTAGGCTGTAACACAAGGGGGACACAAGGTATTCCCCAGCTCCTTCCAAAGCGAAGTCTTGTCTTTTATAGACCTGTGAAAATGCCTCACCCAGTGGGGTTTCACAGGCCTCCTGCAGTACAAATAACCGATCGCCCAAAGTCAGGCCATTTGCTTTACTAAACACAACCTTCTCCAAAGCATTTTTATGTTACACATTTGTGTATTCATATACATCTTAAGCTACTGGGAATGGGGGAGGAGAACTAAGTGTGAAGGCCTCCATTTGCTCACAGGACAAACAAGCAGCTCTTTAAGAACTTTGGCACATGGGCAGCGACATAAACAGCATTTCAGATGCTTAAAATGAGGAATAATGATAATAATAAGTAAAGGCAATAGAGAACATTTTGGTCTGCGCTTCTCTTTGCTTGAAATCTAGAACTCGTTTGATCTTACTTTGTGTGACAGGAAGCTTAGTCAGCACAAGGGAAATTTTACCAGTTAGGAAACAAATCTGTGATTCCTTAGAAACATGGGGGTGCCAAATCAGTATTTGTTACCCTCACGGCCTTTGGCGTAATGCTGCAGGTACAAGCATTAACAGAGGGATACTAGAGGATATAGGGTTCACCTACGTCGCTCTATGAAGAAAGAGCTGTGGGCAGAGAGCCTGACAGCATAGCTTGGCGCTGACGATGGTGCAGCCGCGTTAGCACAGCGCCGTGCCACCGACCTGGTACTTGCCAGAGTAGCACAACCACCGTGCAGTAAGCCGTGCGTAACAGCAAGACCCTAAATGGCATCTCTAAAGAGATGACTTAAGCTACAAAATAATTACTAATACTCTTTTAAAATTAATTGTGTTCATTTTGAAGACTCAGCCTTTGCTGGTGTCCATGGACACATTCAGATTCTTTCAAGTCATGCTAGTCAAGTCTCTGATCCCAGCGTGTCCTGTGGCAGGGAGTTCCATAATCTAGCCTCGTGCTGAGAAAATATATTTTAAACAAATATTAGCTACTGCCTGTCCAATACAGCTTATAAGAAAAAGAAATGGAAGAGTAATTTGTGCTGGCTTAAATTTTGCTTCTTACAAAAACACCTTGCCCCCTTCTTCCATTCCCTCCCCAGGGAAGGTTAAGGGGTGCCTAGAATCTGGGTGCAGGGCTGAGAACTACACGAGACATGTTCTTGTTCCCTTTTGGCGATTGCAAAGCAATGAGTAAATTACAATGGTCACATTCCTTATTAGTAAATACACGATTAATATATCCTTCTGCTGTCAGCATCTTACACCACAGAGGAGGCAGGTCTACAGTAGAACTTCAAAAAAGTATAACTGTTTGCCATGGCTCCAAGGCATTAAGGTAGTACAAACTCCAGGCAACCTCTCGTGTAGAAGGGAGGGAGAACGTGTTTAACAGTGCCCTCTCGTGACTGATGGAATAAAAAAACTCTGGTTACAAACCCGGTGGTCCACCGCATGTGGCGTGTTACATCGGCAGAGTGCTTTCAAGAAGATGTAGGGCAGCGTGCAGGTGAGCTAGTTTTTCATTATGGGTAGAAAATGAATTAACTATACACTAAACAAAATCAGTCCTTGTCTAGACAACTTCCAAAGCAGCAATGGGCTGACAGAAGGGATCGGTGAGCTCCATTTACCAGAAAATAGCAATGATCAGAGCTTGCTACATGGCAATTATTATTATACTGTTAGAAATTGCAGAGGACACAGTTGCATTTTTAATGTGACACCTAGGAAATGTCTTTTTGGGGACTAACGACCTACTTCGCATGCCTGCTAGCCTGGCACAACACCATCGGCATACGCACAACTGAATTTTCATTCCTGGAATTAGACCTTCTCCTCCATCTTCAGAGGAAGGGCTCCCTTCTCTGCTAGCAGTAGAACACGGCTCCCCAAGGAGAAGGAAAGTAGATGAAAAGCAGATGACTCTGCCACATGTTCACCCTTAAGCTAAGTACAGAATGACTTCAGAGTGTCCCTGAACTTTTGGGCTGAAAACGGGGAGAGGCTGAGCGCAAAAATGAGTAACAGCCCAGAGATACACATAGTACCAAAAAGAAATGCAACTGCTTTTTTCTCAGCTCTTTCTCTGTTTGTCTTCCTGGTCCCATCCCACATGCTCTGTGTAAAATAGACCATATCTGCTTGCTCACAGCACCGCTCTTCTAGTACAGTGTCACTATGAATTGCACTTCCAGGGCAGCTTCTTAGTACCAGTTATGCTCTTCCTTTCACCCATGTTAGGAAAACAGTCTTTTAAAAATAGCTTAATTGTCTTCCTTGCAGCAGAGAATCTGCAGACATCAAAGTTGGCATCTCTTTTCTCTGCAGCCCTGCAGTGAAACATTGGGTATTCAAGTCACCTCTGATCAAAAGAACTACTTTTGTCACGGGCTGCTTTACGCCCTTGTAGTTCCTAAATTTTTGGCAGCCAAATCCAAGTGAGTACACTTATAGTAAACACTTTGTTTTCACACAGCATTTATGCAGCTTGCTGTCTGTTCCAAGCTGTGCCAGCTCTGCAGGCTGCCCATCCCAGCCTCTGTAGCTGATCCCCAGCCCAGCATCAGGACAATCTGATCCTTGTCACACTGTAGTGTTAGCTCCTCCTGTGCATTGCAGGATGCATCACTGGTTTTTGGCAGATAACCAGACTAATTCCCTGGGCACCAGACTAATAAAGCTTGGGTTGCTGTTTATTTGTATTTCTTGACCAACTGCAATTTCAGATTCTAGGGGTATTTTCCTGCAGAGGGGAAATTTATGAGAGATCTTTACTGTATGGATTCTTTAATCTCAGACTACATGTGCAGTCTTGCAGCAGGCTTTCAGGGCACTTATAGTTCCCTCTCCTTTATCCAACTTCTAATTTTCATGAAACTTGTAGTAGCTTAATTATCCTGTTGTTTCCCCACTTCTGTCACATTAGCTTGAAATCAGACAATGAGTTCAAAAGCCATTAAGGGGACACAGACAGATACCAGGATCATATAAGCCTCATTTCCTTAACAAACTAAAGTAACAATTCAGATGGTGTCTGGTTCTCGTTGCTCACAGTCTAGACAAAACAGGCATACAGAGGGCAGGCAGGGTATTAGAGCTCAAATTTATTTTTATCTTTACTCCATTTTCACAGAAAAGAAATTGTAACTTCACGATAATTTCAAGTGGTTTTAGGGACAGCTCAAGAGAATGGTTACAGAAGTAGCAGCTTTTCATTTCTATGTTTTCACATTTATTCCAGCATAGGACAATACCGATCAAACATCAGGAGTGTCTAAATGCAGCTCTCATTAGATGGATACCCATTGCAGACAGCACTGATTGTCAAAGCCATTTTGATTTTTAGAAGCAATCTCTAAATTGTCTTTTGGGGCTAAGCAATCTTCCCACTAGTTCCAGATGATGAGGAAGAAATCAGTATTGGGACATTAAAAAATAAATATTATATAAAAGTTGCAAATAGATCAATAGGTCTATGTGTGGTGGCAGGACACGAGCAGTAACCTGCAAACTAATGCTGAGTTTGAAATGGGGGAAAAAAAAAGAGGGAGAAAAGCAGACAAAAGAGAGCTTTAAAGTACACTCCAATGTCACAGCTGAAGGACTCCACCATCAGAAATAAAAAAGGAACATAGATGGATATTGCTTTATAAGTGCTCATAAAAAATGGATGTGCAGTGAGACAGCTATAATAAGCTGAATGCTGTGAGTTAATCCATACTTTTTTTCACAAGAGCACTGAAGCTAATACATACTGGCATTAGCTTCGGTAATTACTCCATGCAGGTGCATACATTTGCTATGCCTGTAGCCAGCTTTGATGCTGCTCCAACACAAGCTGTTAGCTGGGAAAGGAAGGCGGCTGTGGGTAGGTACTTTGTACCTGGCATTCATTAAGACATTCAGTTTATATCCCTGCTGCAGGAGCTAGAATTTGACTTCAGTGAAAGTGTGTACTTTGTGGATTTTGTTTCTGGGAGTGTTTGATACAGAAAACTAATGTTCTGTTATTCCACCAGAAGGATTAACAAAATATTAGAGTCTTTTAAAAACAATGTTGTGGCTGTAGGATTTTTTTTGCCTCTAGATGCATACATGTGTAAATATACATATGTATATGTGTGTGACTGCCTTTAGCACTAAGGCAGTATTTAGTCATTAAGCAGAGGACTGAGGTCTTTCCAAGCCTTAATCCAGAAAAAGGCTGCTAGTTTGCTGCTCTGACCTCCAAAACAGACTAAGATGTCATTGCAATGCAGATACCAACTCTGATTATTATTTTCAAAAATAATTCTTTTGAATGAGCTTGAAGTATTAGAAGATTGATGGCTGTGACAGCTCAAAGGGCTAAATATGTTTTTGGTGAACTACAGAAATAAAGGAGTGGAGCAGAGTGGAGCAGAAATATCGTAACCAGCAGACTCTTCCAACGAACACTATTTTCAAGCTTTTCCCAAATTTTCAGATATGTACTAACCACAGCTCGTTTACATCCCTGGACCTCTGGTGTCATTTCATCAGGCTGGATGTTTCTACTGGAGTCTTGCAAAATGTCTACCATAAAGATGAAGAACTAAAACCAGGCCCAAAATAAGACAATAGTAAAGATGTGAGATCCAGATGAATTATGATAATGTATGGCTGTTGATCAGTATGCTTGCTGGAACAAATGAGATTCAGTGTTTCTCCCGCACTCAGTAACCTACTTCTATACAGAAAGTGTCTCTTGAAAGGTACCTTGATAGTTTTATAAAGCGGGGTGTGTTTTTTTTTTAAGATCTAGAAGTATTTCTGCTACATCTTAATTATTCTTAAATCAGATTATTGCTCAAACTACTTATCTCACTAGTAATGCTGATTTAGCACCCCGATGGGCCACGTTCTCAGAAATGATGAGTGTTTCAATAGAAAGAACAACATTGCTGACCAACTACAGTTTCTAGATAGGAGTGAGAAGCATAGAAGAGGAACAGACATTTCCATATGTGAAAAGAAAGTGTCAGTCTCCAGATTTGCCAATTCCCAATGCTTTTGTAGACATTAAAAAAAATCAGTTACAATTTTACCCCTTAATGAAAAAGAGAGAGGCTTCCTACCAGCTGTCTTTGAATACATAAAAGTTGGAAAACAGGCTCACTTCAGCTGAAACACTGCATTCATTTCACCCTGAAACATCCAAAAGGCTGGGGTTAGAAACAACCAAAAAAGACTCCAAAATCAACCCCCAAAATAAACTGCAGAAAAAACCCCCTCAGCCTATATGTTTTGCTGCCAGAGTTTCATTTTCAACTGGAACTGTTTGACATGTTTATATGTTGCACATATTGCTTTTATCCTGGAGTACAAGTTCATTAGTAACATAAATATGTCTCTCATGTTAGCTGAAAATTGGAAATTAGAGGTAGCCTAGTCACATCAAAGTGAAATGTTTTCACCACATCTATGCAGCTCAAGAAATATTTTAATTTCTTTACTACAGACTTACAATGTAATTTGGTTTGGGCAGAATTCTGTATCTCAGCTTCCCTGCTTTTAAATGGAGGTTCTAACAATAATTAATTACACATTTTCTTTGCCTATTTGTACTAGACTTTCAGGACTATAAGATTTACACTGTCTTTTTCTCTATCCCTCTTCTTCTAAAACAGAATCTAGTTTGCAGTCTTTTAACCTTATAACAATATGAATAATCATGTTGACTTAACAGAAAAATGGCCTTAATTAATTAACAGAATAAGCTAGAGACAGACTCAGATTGAAATCCTATTCATCACTAGAGGCATTCAAGTGCTAAATGATTTGCAACAAATCTTGTAATAAAAGCTTTAACAGTTTCTCTAGTGCAATAGATTTTTTTCTCTGAGAACATTTCAAATTAATTTTTTATATGTCTAAAGAACTGAGCATGTGAATGAATTAGTGTATTCACGGAACTATGGCTTTTAATAAGTTAATCTCATTAAGGCGAGTGTAATGATAGGTTGAAAACAACAATTAATCAAATAGATCTAAAAACACATGCTAACCAAAAAAACCCCCCATGCTTTCATTATATATTAAAAACTGCCTAAGTACTAACAGATTGACTGTTGCTAACACATCTCTACCTGAGTTTTTAGGGTCTACAGCTGCTATTGGAAAGCCCATTTCCTCTTTACACACAATCTTTATCCAACACATCAGCTTTGTCCAGAACTCATTTGGCTTCAATAAAGCTGAATAACAAATTTTAGCATTTTTATGCAAGTAACATCATCTGCTTTTAATGTGGCTGTGCATGTGTGCAGTCTAGAGCGGAGGTAATTAAGAGGGGACAGTAGGATTGTGAAATTATGTATGGTACCAGAGAAAGCATGTCAAGCCATCCCATTATCTTACCTGCCAGTACAGGACTATGGAATACCAACTGAAACTTCAAGGCAACGTATTTACAACTGAACAAAATACCACTTACTATCAATCACAGAATATAAATAGCTTCCAAAGCACTCTGTCTCATTTTGTTGAAGCCAAAAGGCTAAAAGAATTTAAAAAAAAACCCACTTAGCTCCTTATTTGGGTATTAAGAATTTCTCTAGTTTTGTTATAGATTATATGAGCGCATACAGGATATAAACTCATGGTTCAGGATTTACCACTAGTTGCATAGGAGCACTATAGCCAGATTGAAAGTTCTTTAAAAGACAGGAAACATAGATGCTGTGATGCAGAGCCAAACTTAACTCTAAAAAAAATATTTAGGGGGAGAGAAAACAGAAAAATAATGAAATGTTAAATTTACAGTACATTGGGAATTATTGCAAAGTGATTAGAAGCACGTCTGAAAACAATAAAAGAAGGAAAATATAGGTTTGGAAAATATAAATTAATACATCTAAGAGAAAATAATCTTGTCAAGAGGTAGGGAGGAGCTTGGGAAGCTCCACTAGTTAAAAAAAAGCTTAAAAGTTTTGCTGAACAATGTCATGAACAGCAATGTGGCATGGCAACAGAAAATCAAAACGCAAAATAAAAGGAGTAGTCTGGAGAAGTACCGACCGTGCAGGTAGGGTGTCACTGCCAAGGGAGGGCTGGCTCCCTACATGCCTCTGGGATGGCTGTCTCTGGAGCGCTGTGTTCAGGTCTGGGCACTTCAGTCATCGCTCCGGGGCTGACATCTTGAAAGCGTGTCAGAGGACATTGTGTAGGGGCTGGAACCTGACTCAGGAGCAAAGGGAGTAAGTTACTCAACAGTTTGGGTAAATTGTGCCTACTGGAGCAGTCAAAAAGTCACTAACAATAATATTTAAATAGTGTTAGATGATGACAGTCTAGGGCGTCCCGATGTCACTGGTTATCTCTCCACTTTCTATCCCTTGCTTGAGGGCATTATTAACATCTGGCTTCTCTGTGTCTTGGAAGGTGATGCCACTAGTCCCCAAAATGACCTTTACAAATTGATGAGAAATTATCCCGTCCCCCAGTATCCCAGATATGCCTTGGATTGCAGGCACCCAAGGGCATTATATCGGCACTACTGTTTGAATTAGATTTGATGTTCCCAAAGAAACAGCATACCTCATGCCTGCTAGAGCTAATTGGAATCCTTCGTGGGGCCAGGCATGCTTCAACAGAAAACAAAGGCATTCTAGCAACATTTCTTTGAAAATAAAATTACAGAGGAGAAGCCTGAAAGTAATAGAATATAAATGGTAACTGTGAAGTTGTCCCTCAGGTGTTTCAGTGACTCAGCCATCCTGGAAATGGAAAGATGGTCAACCTAACCAGCCAGCTGTCTGCTGCTGTCAGTTGTGCAGAATGTTTTTTCCTCCTTTATCTACAAAAGAATTTTTCTCCCTATCTCATCTGACTTTCTATCTCTCTCATACCTGTTTTTAGTCCCAGCCTGACTCTCACTGCCATTCACTGTCACTGTAATAAGCTGGGCCCGAGCCCTTTCCTTAAGCACTGAGGGAAGAGATGGTATGCCTAGATATGTATATCTAGCAAGAACAGCAGTATTATCTTACCCTGCAATCTTTAGAGCATTCATTCATGCTTAAATGACTTTTTAGATGATCAGAATGATACCGGGAGAGCTACAAAGCTTCAAAAGTCATACAACATACCAAGTTTTTACTGTATGTATGTCTTACAAGACTTACAGTCTTTGCTTTGAGCTCTTCAGGAAAACTGCATATCAGATGTAATGATGCAGGCAGCAGGTGCAGCACTAGAACTCAGTGGTGCAGGAGAAAGACCTTTCCCAGGGCAGCTCCAGCTCTACATGGGAATTTTTCCTGAGAGACCAGAACCATCACAGTCACCGACTTGCACCTTCTCCAGAGGTCTAGGGCATATTTTAAGCTTGTCTTTCACCAAAACATATAAATTAGTTGAAAAGAAAATAAATAGGACAAAAGCATGATTTGCTACAAATGTGTTTGGTACATCCGATGCTCAAAAGATTTCTGACAGAGTCCCGCTGTCAGACAAACCATACGATCACATGCTTATGAAAAATACTGCTGAAAACTGGAGTTTAGCAAGAAGTTTAACAATAATTCGTTGTTCAGCCTAATTAGAAAAAGTGGGAATATTCAAGGAACTCCTCAGTACAAGTAATATAAAGCTACCAGGAGCTGTTCCTGAATGCTAACTCCTGGGACCCTATAGCTACGTTGGCATTTGCCAACCAAAACAGAATGTGGTGGAGTGGAATCATAGAATCGTAGAATGCTTTGGGTTGGAAGGGACCTTAAAATCATCTAGTTCCAACCCCTCTGCCATGGGCAGGAACACCTGGAAGTGTTTTGATTTACACCCGTCTCAACAAATGAACTGTCTGTCGTGGTTTAACGCCAGCTGGCAACTAATCGCCGCACAGTTGCTCGCTCATTTCCCCCCCCAGGTTGGAATGGGGGAGAGAACAGGAAGGGTAAATGTGAAAAAGCTTGCACATTGAGATAAAGACAGCTTAATAGGCAAAGCAAAAGCCACGCACAGAAGCAAAGCAAAACAAGGAATTCATTCACCACTTCCCATGGGCAGGCAGGTGTTCAGCCACCTCCGGGAAAGCAGGGCTCCATCACGTGTGACAATTACTTGGGTAGACAAAACGCCATCACGCTGGACATCCCCCCCTTCCTTCTTCCCCCAGCTTTATGTGCTGAGCATGATGTCATATGGTCTGGAACATCCCTTGGGTCAGTTGGGGTCAGCTGTCCCAGCTGTGTCCCCTCCCAGCTTCTTGTGCCCCCCCAGCCTCCTCGCTGGTGGGCTGGGGTGAGAAGCAGAAAAGCCCTTGGCTCTGGGTAAGCACTGCTCAGCAATAAGGAAGCCATCCCTGGGTTATCAACACTGTTTCCAGCACAAATCCAAAACATAGCACCATACTAGCTACTATGGAGAAAATTAACTCTATCCCAGCCAAAACCAGCACATAAACACAAATAAAGTTGGTACTCTATGCTTTTTATTTATTTTTTTGTAGGGATGGTCAAAGGGTTACCAGAAAGATAAAGGTATAGGGTCCAGAAATCTGTTGCTGTAGCAAAATCTTGCTTATGTTTTCTTGGCTTGTCTTACAGGTAACAATTTTAACATTCTTTCAATTACTTGTTCTGTGTTTCTTAGGTCTTTATTTAATCTCCAAAGCCTTTGCTTCACTGAAAGTACATACTGTAATGATAACTCTAGTGAAGAGTTGTATATACTCTTACGTTATGTATAAAGCCTCTTTAGAGGTAGAGTAATATATTTCTGTGGCTTAGTTTTGAAATGTGTAAGAGGAAACTGTTCATTTTGCTCTCATTGTTAAAATGTGTTTAGCTTTATATAGAGCTTATCTCTGTCATCAGGGTTAAGGCAGTGATTTGTGTTTGTCTTTACATAGTGACAGAATGAGTGGCCAGGAAAGCAAAGCTTTCATCTTCAAAAACCCAAAATAAAGCTCTCTAGCTTGTAGTAGTGATGCCACATGGCTGGGGTGATTTTTACAGTATTTCTTTAAAACTGATTTTCTATCACTAGGTACAGGTTATGGCTGAAAAGGGTAAGAAGAACTTTTTTTTTTAATTTAAAAACCATGCCTCAGTTTCATATCTTTTTGGATTGTGAGTAGCTTCACTAATAAATATCAGTCCTTGATCTGACTGGAAGCAGATTCAGAACGGCTGTGCAAAGGCAGCCCTTTAATGTTGTAATAAATGACTGATTTGAGTACATTTCTTACTAGCAAACAGTTTCTTCATTCCAGAAGCACCAGATGTGTAAACCTGCATTTATCACAAAGTCTCAAATCTTTGTTCATTTGTGTTAACCTTTCCTGTACAAAGGAAAGCTCTCTCTGGTAAGAAATGGATCAGGAGATGTCATCTAGGTACTGATCCCTCGAGGGAAGTGATGATAAAAGAATAACATAGCAATTCTGAATTAACCAACAAAGTGCACACATAAGGGTTGCACAGTTTTCAATGTGGTGATTGTCACTAGTTGTGCTCTATCTGTAGATAAAATATTTGCTGCCCTCAGCAAAGGAAGCTAAAGAGTATGGAGTTAAATTTTCTCCTTAACTATTCTGGGATGACCCTTTAAGTCCTCTCCCACCTGTGGAAGAAATAACTTTTCATTAAAATTTGGATGCCCCTCTAGTAGTAGTCCTAGTATTTTCTAGATCAATGGAAGCCTTCTGTAAATAAATTGGGACTGAAGCATGAGAATATTGCAATTTATTATCAATTATGGGTGGAGTAGGAAGAACAGAATAACTGCAAGCTCAGTTAAAGCATCCCTTCAGCTATTAGTTTCTCTATTAAATAGTGTAAGCACTGAATAATCTAACAAACACAGGTCCTGACCCTAAACCTGAGATGCAGACTGCCTTCACAGGCTTGGAGCCCAGATACTTACACTGATCTCAAGCACACAAACTTTTATGCGCATTCTTTGGGGAACTTGGCTTGGAAATAGAGTGTCCCTGGAAGTTAGAGCCATGATTTATAATGAACTACCCACAGACATTCAGATGCTATTATGGTAAGAATTTGTTTCCTCCAGTGGGTAACCGAGGAAGACTCTTATCCCAATAAGGGCTGCATTGGAAGGAAGATGGGAGCAGAACCACACACAACATGATATTTGCAAGGAGAGAATTATGGCAGGAAGGAAAGGGAGAGGCTTTAATATATAAGCATAAAGCCACAAAGATTAGACCAAGAAATACACAACTACTCCAGAAAAAAAATGCACAGTCTTCTCAATGTTAATGGAATGATGTTTCCAGATTTGATCAACTCTAAGTGCAATAATGCACAGAAGGAATGCATTAATTGTAATCTTGATGTAATTGTCAATATTTGCAAGAGGTGGATGGAAACAACAAGACTAGTTAATGTCCCCTTAAACTGTCAAAATAACTCCTTTAAAATCCTGCAAAACCACAAATATGAAATCTTTAATGACTAGGCGTACTACACAGCCAGACTGTCTAGAGCATAAGCTGAGAATGATCAACTTCAAGCCTTGTGACCCAAGTAATGAATCTTCTTGAAAGCCTGTAAAGTAATCTTCAAAAGGAGAAGGGTTTTTTTTTCACTAATTTTTGGAGCCCTGACCAATTTTTCAACAAAACCCAGGCACTGTAAAATGACTTTCATTTGCAGGCCTCCCAGGTCTCTGTAAAAGGAAAACTAGTCTTTCAGTACATTTAGGCTAGGTATGTTCCTATTTAAAAGGTGAAGAAGCTGCTGCTCCGTTACTTCAGCAGAGGGGATCCAGCTGAAGAAGCCAACTAGGGGAAAAATTCTAGACTTTCAGAAGTGGTCTCTGGATTTTAGAAGCAAAATGTTTCTCATTGTGGCTTCTGTGGGATGAAATGACTGATGAAACAGTGTATTTGGAAGATGTGGCCAAATCCGAAGTAACCACTTTCTGCAGCATGGCTGGATGACAACGGCTTTTCTTGTAGCTGGGTAAAACAGTGTTTTAGAGATGCCCAGAGCTCTTTACAAAGGAAGAAAATTGAACCAGCATCAGATAACTTTTAGAAATAGTCCCTTTTGTACTGTCATGGGCACAAAATGTAGCAAGATCATACCTGAAGACCTTTAAGCAAGAAGGGGCTAGTACTGCAAGCACAGCACTGCGTCCTATCACTTTTGGAACCTTTGGTGGAAGCCTCTATGAAGGCCGACAGAATAGATTTAAAAAACATCTCAGTAATTTAAAATATTAATGGTGAACATGTGTTGTAACTGCAGTTAATTAAGTGTTGATAAAAGAATCTGAGCGTAAACAATTACACACTCCCTAGAATATTTCCTGAGTGGCACTAACAATAGCAGCTCTTCCGTACATGGCCTGAGACAGTCTGCATGAGCAGCGTCTGAGGCTCCTCGGCGGGTTTGTGGTGATGATTCCTGCTCTTGTTTCCACAGCCAACTGCGAGAAGAGAGGCTCTGCTACAGCAGAGTGAATGCGCTCGGAGCCTGGTTCTCGAAGCAGTGCTCTCTCTGGGGAGGATCTCAGCCCTTTTGTAAGGATGAGGGTCGGGCTATGAGATGGCAGAGACAAGAGTGGAGTAAAGACAGCGATGGCAGGCGAGGGAGTGTTCAGCGTGCGTTCACCAAACACAGTGAATGAATGGGGCTGGGCTGTGACTCCTCGGTCCGTACGCGCGCTGCCGGCTGTTGTCTCGGTTGACATGGCAGTTGGCATTGCTGCCTATGCTGGCAGAGGGAAGGGAGGTATTTGTGAGTCCTTGAGATGGGGCAGCTCAGAGGCTTCTTAACACCATAGCAGTGGTTGCAGGACCTGTTCAGGAATGCTCCTGGGAAGAACTAGGACGTTTGAACAGGTAAATGCCTGTATTTGCTCAGCATATGTTACACTGAGCAAATTGGATTGATGATGAATAGTTTTTTAAAATAAAAACAGCAAGCGCTTTTGAAAGAACTCACTTTAAAATTGATCTGAGCTTGTCATTCCTTAGGCAATGGCTGCTATGAAAGCAATCGCTTAAACTGTAGCTTCATTACTTACAGGGAGGCTCCACCACTCACTCGCACAGAGGGTCATGATTTAAAAGCTGGACTAGGTGGCAACATTCCTGTGTGCTTGGTGTTGCAGAGGGAAGGTGAAAGTCAGTAGCCCTTAAATTTCAAGCCCTGGCCCAGGGACCAGTGTGAGACATAAAAACGCCATGCTGAAAAATCCTTTCAAGAGAAACACAAACTTTGGTTGGAGATAACGCTGGTGCTGGAGAGAGCCCAGTGTCATGGTGAACTGCTGCATCTC